GTGTAAACTGCATAAGTCCTTGTATGGTCTTAAGCAAGCTCCTCGGGCCTGGTATTCTCGGCTGGCAGCATTTCTACTTACCTTGGGTTTTGTGGAGTCTCGTTGTGATCCGTCTCTTTTTGTCTATCGCCGTGGGTCGCAGCTTGTGTTTTTCTTGGTCTATGTGGATGACATTATTCTTACAAAGACTTACGGTTTGGTTCAGCATTTTATCTCTTGTCTTGCTAAGGAGTTTTCTCTTCGGGATTTAGGTCCATTGAGTTACTTTCTTGGGGTTGAGGTTCGTCGTACTTCCAAAGGTTTGCTTCTCTCTCAGCGCAAGTATGTCACTGATTTGCTACGACTTGCAAATATGCATACTTGCAAACCTGTTTCCACTCCTTTGCGAGCTAATGTTGTGTTATCCCGTTTGGATGGTACTCTGTTGTCTCGATGATGCGACTACTTATCGTCGGTTGTGTGGCGATCTGCAGTATACCACTCTCACTCGTCCAGATATCTCCTTTGCGGTTAATAAGCTTTGTCAGTTTATGCATCAGCCTCGCACTTCTCATTTTCAGGCTCTCAAACGGGTTCTTCGCTATCTTCGTGGTACCATTGATTTTGTTTAGTTCGCATCCTCTGATTTGGGTACTCTTCTGCGTTTAGTGATGCTTGATTGGGCTGGTTGTCCGGATGATCGTCGTTCTACTACTGGTTTTCTCATTTATTTGGGACCTAATCTCATTGCACAGGCATCTAGGAAGCAGCCCACTGTGGCTCGCTCGTCTACTGAGGCTGAGTTTCGTGCGGTTGCTAATGTCTGTGTTGAACTGCATTGGGTGTGTCATCTGTTGTCCGAGTTAGGCGTTTCTTTAAATCGCTCTCCCTCTATTTGGTGTGACAACGGTAGTGCGGTTTTCCTTCTTTGTGAATCCTGTGTTCCATGCTCGTACAAGACATGTTGAGGTTGATTTTCACTTTGTTCGAGATCATGTTCGGCGTAAGTTTGTTTCGGTCAATTCTATCTCTGCTGCTGATCAGCTTGCTGATATTCTGACAAAACCCTTGTCCAAAGAGTTATTCTTTCGATTTCGGGACAAACTTCGGCTTCTCTCTTCTCCGCCGTGAGTTTGCGGGGGCGTGTTGTAATATTTAGTATATTTCCTATTATAGGGTTTGTTATTGTCTATATATAGTCTGTATATTGTGCACAACACATTATGAATTCAATACAATTTCCCTATTCTAAGTTGGAGATATTAATAAATTAGTGGACAAAGACTTTAATCTATTCTTGAAAATTTTTAAACCAACTCGATCCCCAATTAATAATTTGTCCAAACATTATAGCTGGTCTAATTACTCATTTTTTCTATTCCTTTCATCTACCCAATTAAGCGATATACAGTATTCCAATTAATTTTTGGTTCCCTAAAAAATGAGAGGAAAACAAAAAATCAAAGCCAAGGCCAGTCAAAGAGTTCTGTAATATGAAAAGCAAGGAAGCCAAGACGTGAAAAACAATGGTGTAGGAATAGAAAAATGCAGACAGAATGGAATTGAATGCCTATAGGCTTTTTTTGAGGGAAAACATATTGTATTAAGATTACTAGAAATGGTCCAGCACCATTTTATACAAGAACAAACCATCCAAAATGACGTACTCGAACCGTCCTAATGACATACTCACGGTACTAGTCACTGCACTAGTGATTAGACCAATACAATTGCCAAAAGGGTTAACAATCCTATAATGGTATAATTTTATTGTCAGACATATCACAGAACAGAATAAAATGGTGAACTCGAATATATCACTAATCCGCAAACTGAAGCACAAATTTATCGTCATTAACGACGAACAGCACACATCAAATTCGGACTCGACCAACGGACTCGGTTCCGTTGACACACTAATTTACTCAGTAAAGAATCCCCCTGAGATCTATACTGAGGGTGGGCTATCCCACTTAATTGAATTAATACACAACAATAAAAAAACAACTAAATCCGAACTGGCATGGACTCCGTCAAATCTGGGATGCAGTAGGAGGGTGGCGAAGGCAGCAGAGGTGGATTCCGAGTTGAGGGCGGAGCGCCAGAGGGCGGCAGAGGGTGGATCTGGGTGGCAGAAGGGGATTCCGGCGGTTTGGATGCCATAAATGGTTGGGCGGCAGTAACCGCTTAGCCGGAGGCCGATTTGGAGGCAGTGGTGGTCTTGGCGGTGGTGCAGGTGGTAGATCAGGAGGAGGTTTCGGTGCGGGAGGTGGAGCTGGACTTGGTGGTGGAGAAGATTTTGAAATCCAATTTAAAAAAAAAACCGCTTTCAAACTGAAAGAGTAAAACCAAACTTCCGCCTAAGGGAGAGAGTGAACAACTCTCGAGTAGAGAGAGAAAAAGCTCTCATGTAGAGAGAGAACTCCAAAATTGGAAAAATTTGTAAACAAAAATGATAACTAAGAAACAAAACTAATTGTATCAATTCTATAATCAGTTTTTAAACATCAAGAAAATAGTTGTCGAAATCATATTTTTGATAAACAGTGAAGACTTTGCCAGATGCGAAATCAAACCAAATTCGAAATCAAACTAAAAAGCATATGTCGACTCTTACGTCAGCTTATAAAGGTTGACCACAAAGTCGACGCCTGAAATACAATTTAATTTTCCCTTCAACACCTAGTCATTTTGCCACCTTAAGGAAGTGTTTTGAATAAAAATATGCAATGCATCGATGGCAACTGTGATAAAATAACCACCAAGTTCTTTTGAATTTTTCATACTCATTCTCGTCCTTAATATAAGGTATTTTTTATTTGTCCTATGTTCTAGTATGTATTTTTCATTTGAAAAAAGAACTTTAAAAATATTTCATAATAATTAAGAGAATACAACGAATGCGAAAATGTATTTTTAAAGTTTTTTTGTCAATAAAAAATGCATACTATGTGAAGCATAGGACAAATCAAAATGTCTTATTTAAGGACCAAAGGGAGTAGTTGGCATCTTGGAACTAAATCGTATATATTTATTTGATCTTAAAATTAATATATAAGGAAAGATTTCAATTGTGGATTTTTAGTTATTATCGAAACTCTTATAGTTAAATGCAAGGAAAATTTACCAGAAATAATGTGTCAATAATCAAAATTATGCCCTAATCTTTAATGTTCAAACTACAAATAGATAGTGTTAAAAATGAATTGTTATGATTTATTCCAGTTAAAATTTCCTTTAAAATTTTCCTTCACAAATCATTATCTTTCTACTAATATGCGTAGTTTGATTTATTTCACCAAAATCAACAATTTTTGTATATATAAGAAAATTATTTAAAAGAAAAAAAACTCTTAAATCATTGTGGTTCAGTAAGCTTTTATGTAGTTTCATAAGTTTTGATCACACAAAGGCTAGATTTGGGAGTTCAGCGTAATTTTAAATTAAAGCTCTTTTTTTATTCGCAAATAAAAATTGACATTTCTTTTCGATCTCTCCCTCTTTGCTGTTCTTTTCTTTTGTTTTTTTAGTTGCAGTAATCACAAAAATTCAAAATGCAAATTTTCTGAAGGAAACATGTCTCGAAGGAACACATCTTAAAACCTAATAATCTCTTATCGTAAGAGCATCTCCAATCATTCTACTATAATTTGCACCAAATTTAATGTAAAGTAAAATATTCCAAGAATCTTTTTACACCAAAGTTCTTTGATCTCCAACCTTAATGTACTAAATGGTTTATAATTTAATATATTAGGTTAAATTTTATTTCGGGGTTAATTAAAATCTTGTAATTTGTTGATAATTTTGTGAAATTTATTTTTTATAATTTTTTTTATTAGATTGTAGTAGTATCTTTTTTTTCAATTTTGTTTCATATTTAATTTTGATAATAACTAAAAATTAATTTTTAAAAAATAAATTTTGTATTCAATATGGGTCTTATTTTGTATATCTCAACAAAATATTTAATATGCTACAATTTTCACAACGTAATTCGTTTTGCAAATTCAATGACGCAGCAAACATATATTTAGATCAAAGTAAAAGATATTGCACTAGAAATAGTGTAATGGATAATTTACAACAAATCTGGTGTAGCACTATTCATTGCACCAAAATAGTGCAGTGATTTGGTGTCTTTGTTGGAGTGCAACCTTTACACTAAAACACCAAATTTAGTGTTTTGGTGTCTTGGTTGGAGATGCCCTAATAGTTCCAAGCAACAGTTATGTTATATTGTATAACAGTTCCAAGCAACAGTTCTAATATTTTACTGTAATCTCTTATACTGCAACTAACTTAGATACAAAATAATTATTTTAGTGTCAAGAATATATTTTTTCTTACATAATTTCTCTCATACTGCCTGTAAATTAATCTTTCAACATTTGAAACTCGTGAAAAGAATTTGAAAGCTCAAGAAAGTAATGAAGAATTTCCCAATGAGATTAAATTCCTATTAATTAAAAGACAATCGGGAGAAATAAGCTTAGTTTCTTCTAGATATTTGGAGCAGAAAACACAATTCTTTTGATCTCCAATTGAATGAATATAGACTTTAAAATTTGCACATTGTGTTCCAATTTGCAAAAGTTTTCAACGTTCATTCCTTTTCAAATTATTTGTCATCCACGGTGTAATTTCAGATCAATATATGTACCTTACTATTGATCTATTATTATTATCATTATTTTTAATTGACGTCTTAAGGTAAATTAGCTTAAATTTGTATTTTTTTTTTGTGAAAATGAATTTTTTGTATTTGTTAATTGTCCTTTCATTCTAGATCTCAATGTAAGGTATTCTGGAAACAAAAGACTATGTATATGTCGCGGGCTAGTTATGTGCAATTTACAAGAGATAGAAAAATATTTTTAAGCATTTAATTTTTTTACTTTTAAAAGACGAACGAGATTTTGATTTTTACACCGTAAAGCTCCGTTGCACACCTCTGCGTTTCTTTTCAGTCTCCCACCTTTTCCCCAGTTCTTCTTCCTCATCATCATCATCATCATCATCAAAAAGCGCACTTTTATCCAGCTTGATTTTCTTGCGCAGAGGAGAAAAGAGCTATTGTTGATCTCTCGTTCGAGAAGCAGTGTAAGGTGATCTGCTTATACTATATTTTAGCACTCCATTTTCCCCCGTGTTTTGAATATCTTCTACTACTTTTCCGATGCCTGCTTGATTGAAGTTTTTTGTCTTGATCGAAAGGAAAAGCGTTTTAACATTCTGTTGATTGAATACCAATTGAAATTTGAAGTTCCATGGGGGCGTATTTATTGTTTCTGATTGATTTTGGTAGAATTGTGTTTGCCCCTGATGTGTTTGATATCTGTTCAAAATTTGGGAAATGCCAATTTCCGTGACCAAAGCTTGTTTTTAATGTTCTGGAAAAGCTCCCTGGACTAAATGGGTGCTTACTAATTAACTTGGGAAGTGGTTCCCTAATTTCCAAGGAACACGCTATGGTTTGGTTTGTGCATTAAGCTGATGAAAGGCAGCTTTCCGAAGTATCAAGCATAATGATACTTTGGTTTAGTATTGATATACGTTGGGAAAATGGAGCTGACCAGTTTAATTAAGCATAGAAGAATCAGCATCCACATTAAATTTGAATTAGTTTTTTTCTACTTACGTGTATTTTCAACTAGTTTGATTTGTTTGTGGATAATTTTCTATTGCATGTCTTATTGGGTTGGCTTAAATTGCTTAGATCACTCAACCATCCTGGCTTTAAGTGATGATGGTTTTAAAATTTTGAACTTTTTATTTGTAGGGAGAGACAAAGAGCTTAGATTCGTAGGTGCTTTTACAAGTTCTCCACCTTTGAAACAGTTGTTTTTCTGCAGTATTCCTTTAATTGAATTCCATTGCAGAAGATATCAATTGCTTCAACATGTGTTTTTCCCCTGGAACTCATCTGCGACCTACCTGACTCTGAATCAAAATGTGTTGTGCTGATGGGAGAAATGTTATGAAGTTTCATGATTTGTGTATTAGTCAGATGCAAAACTTTCCCCTGTCTCACTTTTGTCCTTCTTATCTGAGCAGTCCTTAACAGAAATGGATGAGTAGTAAATATGGATGATAGGATATTTCAGTTTGCTACCTGTCTCGCACAATTTGTGTATTGCGTGCATTTTTGCGAGCAAAGTTATATCTTTTTCTTTCATATTGTAGAATCCACCTGAAATTCTATTTTTATTTGTGAAATTTTTTGGGGGTATATTAGAATCCACTTGAAATTCCACATGAATTCAATTACAGGTCTATGAATCACAGCTTAGTTTTTGTACAGTACAACAAAAATTAGCTTTCAGCAACTAACTCTCGTATCTGGTGTACTCTTCTCTTTTTTTTTAAAAAAAAATAATAATAAAAAAAAATTCAAAGTTAGCTGGAAAACATGTCACAGAGTTATTTTGTAGGTCGTTCGTGTCTCGTATATGGAGACTAGTGTCGCATTCTCCGACGTTTGTTCAGTTTCGGTCTCAACCCGGCTTCAGAGGCTAAAAGAACACCACAAAACAAACACAAAAATAAAAACTGAGAGATGTTGTTGCGCTCCTTCAATTCAAAACCATGGAGAACAGGGATCTATGAATTCAATCAAGGGCACAACCAGTATCAGTTCGAAATAACATCAACACTCTACCCAAAAAAGAAGAATTGAGGGCTACCCAATACTGTAGGTGGTGACCTCAATCTCAAATCGTTATTCTTAATCATCAGAAGAATTATGAACATGAAGCAACTTGTTTTGGTTTACTGCATAATTGTTTACAATTGTCTCACTTCTTGTTAATGTTATTATTATTATTATCATTATTTTTCTTCCCATTCTTGAAGTGCATTCTGTGAAATGTAGTCTTTATCTTTTGAATATTCTTTGGAATTAGAAGTTAAATAGTAGATCTAATTGGTCACTGGTTCTCTGAACTAACCGATGGTGAATGAGAGAATTGTTTTTCTGCCTAGAGTTGACTGTTTTATGTTTGTTGTATTTCTATTGAGTGTACTGCAACTGTATATTTACTTAGAATTAATGCTGAGATAGTGTAGTGGTTGTGTTTTCATTCGGTTACATCACCCAAGCTGCAGAAGAACTTAGATTAAAAATTTAAATATTATTCTCCGTCTACCGATGCTTTGCTATATCTTTTTGTGGACTTTCTTTATGTCTTATGTTTAGCGTATGAATCTCTTTAAACAATGCATACTTGTTTGTTCAAGTGGTAATGGAAGTGAATAATTTCTTTGGACAGAGGAGTTAGCTCCAATCAAAAGGGCAATATGGCAACTGCTTTCAGATCATTAGCTCGTGCTATGAGGAGAACAATGTTCTCACCATTGTATGCTTCCAGAATGATGTTGCACTCCCATGCCACCAGTTTTGGTATGTACATCTCTTTTATCATTATGTACTATTAATCTTCGAAGATCTTTTTCTCATGTTTTCCCTTGCATCGATCATAAGACAATGCATTTGGATTCTTGAATATATTTTTTGTTTTGGAGCTTTATTTTCATCTGCATTTTATTCATTTCCTGGTGGTCTGGTCTGATTTTCACGATTTTCTATTTTCATATGCTTTAAATTAGTCCGAAACTGTTAGAACAACTCTTCTTATACCAGGCCATTGGTTCATCGACTTTTAGACTGTATTGTGTTTGCTTTATTATCCAGGCTACAATTACTTTGACCACTTAAGCTGATGTGACTTAAATTACTATGTTTACTTGTGATGTCACCATTTCAGGTTACAAGGAAGTAAGAGAGGAAGAAAAGAGCCAGTTGGTGGGTAACGTCTTCACTAGTGTCGCTTCAAATTATGACCTTATGAATGATTTGATGAGTGCCGGGTTACATAGATTATGGAAGGACAGGTTAGTTTTGTGATTCAAATTTTCAAGTATTTTTGTTGCATAGCACTTTAATTTGCATATCCTTATGGATTCCTCTGGTGATATAACTTTCCTTTTTGTCCTCAGATTGGTTTCAAAATTGAGTCCATTTCCTGGTATGAAGCATCTTGATGTGGCTGGTGGTACAGGTGAGCTCTTCTTGTGTCACCCATTGATGAACGTTGTACTGATTTAGAATCGGTTTGGCAAGAATGAAAATACAAGAGTGATGTTTCATATCACTTGAAAGCAAGATGACTTGCTTGTTTCTTGAGTTTCAAATTTAACATCATTCAGTTTCAGTTTCCCTGTTTTGTTGAACTGTTCAGCTACTAAAGACTTGTAAAGATTATACTTGATGTACTTTGCCGTTTTTGCCATACCCATCAATTTACTTTACTGAACTTACTTTCTCTTCTACCCCAAAAAATAAATAAAAATAAAAAAATGAAATAGTCCTTCCAAGATGCATCTTTTGAATATTCTAAAGAAGATTAATGAGTAGCTTTTGAAGAAATTAAATTTGACAGAATTATACCTTTTCAATTGCACTTATTGCACTAGTGGATGAGCAGTGAGAATCGACTTGATAGTGTGGTCTTTCTAGGAATCTTAATCCAAAGATCCAATAGTGAAGGCATCAATCATGTAAGACCTTTTTTTGACTGTGGTAGTGAAGATCTAATGATGTTCTTTATTTGTAGGGGATGTTGCTTTTAGGATATTAGACTCTATCAACAGTGAGAAACGCCAAGCCTTGCAAGACTCCCCCGAAGATAGCTTATTGGAGGAGACTCAGATTTATGTGTGTGACATTAACCCCAACATGTTGAATGTTGGTAAGAAGCGGGCTCAAGAGAGAGGTAAAAAGCTTCCTTAGACAAGCATTATTTGAGTCTTCTTATGTTGAAAGCAATCTCTGAGTAAGGTGGGTCAAATGTTGTATAGTCATTTTTTCCTCTGATATTTAGGTCTCTCCGAGGTTAGATCTCTTGTTTGGGTGGAGGGAGATGCTGAAGCCTTGAATTTTGACGACAATTCAATGGATGGCTACACAATTGCCTTTGGTATCAGAAATGTTACACACATCGAAAAAGCTCTTGCAGAAGCTCATAGGTATGTTCTCACTCTTGCAATTTGATCTTTATCAGCATATGTAGAGAGTATTCTGGAGGCGAAAATGATTGTTCATATTGTGAGTCCTTCAGTAGTTTCACCAATTGATGTCTGAGTTTGTGCTTCCGTAGCTCCATTTGGCAATTATGATAAATTTCTCAGAACTTCTTTTCAGGTTTAGGAAAGGAAAAATTTTATCTTAGTTATTGTTAGTATAGCCCATATTGTGACTGACTAAATTCCATAATGTCTGAATCCAGGATGATGCCAACCTAATATGTTGTAGTGACAAATAGCTGAAAAAAGCTGGATAAAAAGAGGAGCATAATTTTCGTTTCTGCTTTGTAATGTTTCATTAGAAATTCACCCATCTCTGTTGAGTTAAATTGTTTTTTTTTCTTTTTCATTATGCTACATCAAGTGCTTTATATTCATCCTAGGGTGCTTAAACGAGGAGGAAGGTTCCTTTGCCTTGAACTGAGCCATGTGGATGTTCCGATCTTTAAAGAATTGTGAGTAGTTTTCTATCTCTGTGTAGAATCTTCTAATACTAACATGCTTTTAGCTGCGTGTAGTTGTGGATCTTCCTCTGTTGCATTTTTAAAGGTGATTCAGATCCAGCTAATACTAACATTTTTATCTCTTTTTTTTTTTGTTGGGGGGAGGGGGGGGGTGGTGGTCTTTGTTGGTGCTGATGATAGAGGTTACTCTGTTTCACAATGGCCTATACTTCTTTCCTTTTCATATGAAAGAAAAGTTTCTTTGGTGGGCAGGGCCAACTAGTTTGAAATTCCTGTTGTATTTTGTAGCTATGATAAAACTCTTTTCATATTTAACTGAGTTTCAGTTACAAAGCACTTCGTATCTGATTCTCTAGTTTTATGCACATTCTGCAACTCTCAAGTATTTATTCATTGCTGAGCATTGATCCACTAGTTAAAAACTCTCTTCCCTACCTTTATGTTGTGAAATTTGTTTCCCCCAACGAGTACCCACCAAGATACTTAATTGCACTGACGTTTAAAATAATAATAATAAAGAAGTTTCTGCAGCTTCTTAAGGACCAAATAGTTGCAACGTCTAAGTTTTGAATATGCTCATTATTAGTATTCTTGAGCGCTATCTTTGGCTTATAAAGTCTGTCTCAGTATTTCTAATACTCTAATTGATATTCCTTGCACTATCTTTTCCAAAATTGTTTTATATTTTGTTCTAAAGCCTGGAACTCTTAGTGTTTTGCTATTTTCTACCTCAACTGGATTGAAAATATTCTGTTTTCCAAGTTTGGATATTCTAGCCATTACGTTTTTTAAATGGTCCCTTGAGATCTTCTGTTTATATTGTCCGCAGGTATGATATGTACTCATTTTCGGTCATTCCGGCCGTAGGAGAGCTAGTTGCAGGTGATAGGGAGTCTTATCAGTACCTAGTGGAAAGTATTCGTCGTTTCCCGCCACAGGTGAAGCAAAATGGTTTTTGTTGCTTTATCTTTTGCAGTTTAGGTTGATTCTAGGGCAAATTTATTGCTAGTACCTAAGTGGTCGTTACGTGACTGTTGCTTTCACAAATATGTGTGTTGATATATTCCCTGGTCGTTAGTTCACTTGTTTCTGTTTACAGAAGCAAACCTTTTTTTTTTAATCTGGGGCAGGTTTACCCTGTTCATATAGTATTCTGCTAGAGTTTCTGATCTTGGGAAGAGATAATTGCTAAAGTTTAGGCATCATTAGTACTTGAGTTATTTCTTATTAACACATTCTAGCAACTTCATCGCTTGTTACTTCTTGTTACCTGTACTGGTTTCTTTAAACAGAGCTCTAAATTGATTTGTTAGGTAGATTACATGAAACGAATTTAGGTGAAAATCTGTAGTTGTCAATTGCCTGGAAAAAAGGAGAATATAAAAACTCACTTTCGGGTGCGTTGTCAGCGTCTTACCTGTGTTATTAGTTTGTGATAAAGCCATTACAAATCCTTCATTCACCTGCTTTCAATGAATAGAACTTCAAGTAATCTTTCCCTGTTTTGTTATGTTTCAGAATCTTGGCCATTCTCATCTAGCACAAAGCATGGTTACATCGCTCTGCATTTTTGCTCTTTGATGTGGTCCATGCTTGTACCATTTTCGTGTTCCAAACATCTGTTTCCATGGCATTTGAAACGTTTAACATACCACTTACCCTTTCAATTTTAGTTGGAGATTCAGTTATTCTAGCTGCCTCAATTCTATGTGCTTAACCTTCCTAGTCTCAATGATGCAGGAGAAATTTGCTTCAATGATTGCTGATGCTGGATTTCAGAAGGTTGAATATGAGAATCTGGTGGGAGGGGTAGTAGCCATTCACTCTGGGCTCAAGTTCTAGTTCTCCGATAGATTGATGCACTTTTAAAATTTTGTAGATCGATATCATCCACCACAGCGATGTAGCAAAGAATGTTATGTTTGATTCTCGATATGAAATGTGTTAGTTTCGTTTTTTTGAGAAGAAATATGTCAGCTGTACGGTATAATTTAGAACACTGAAAACCATTTCACCATTAGAGCACTGGTCTGAAATATGTGGATCGAAGAACTCTTTAAACCTCGTGGGGGAAAATTTATCATGTACTTTTCTACACTGGAAGCAAATTCATTATTTGGAGGCGTTAACAAAATATGATTCCCAACTGAACACGAGAAATCGAATTTTGTCAAAGTATCCGACCACATTTGATTTTTGAAGCGTAATGCATGTGTTAGGCTATACTTGATTCTGAGTTCGGCCTTATGGCGAGTAGTACTGAACAAACAATATGTCTCGACATGTAACTTTAGACTTTGAACTATTACATTATTACTAATGTTGAAATGAATCAAAAAATTTCAATTAAAATTTCTTCTTGGGAGAAAATGTAAATATGTACTGTATCGCCATATTAACGGCCCATAACAATTATATTAATTTTATTCCACAATTATTATCCACTTTAAATTTTTATTTTTAATTTGAATTTTACTTCAATAAAATTCGAACTAAAAATAAAAATACAAAATGGACAATCATTTTGAGAGGAAAAAAAGTACATAAAAATATATCAATTTTGCCTCATCTAAACAGTAGTTCAAAGAAAACAAAGCTCAAATTTTGGCGTCCTTCTTTGCAAATTACAACCAATGATAGCAACAATCAAAAAAACAAAAAAAAAAAAAAACAAACAAACAAAAAATACCAATCTTTACACCATCTAAATAGCTCAAGATTTTGCGTTCTCAATTTGTTCGTCTCCCACTCAAACGAGCTTGTGTTGGAAAATTTTACAACATATTCCCTCTCTCAAAAAAAAAAAAAATTACATTGAGTCTTTAAATTTATGCTAAAATTTGTACGAATTTCAAAATTCAATATGGACTATTTTTTCTAAAACAGAAAAAATAGTAAATTTAATTGGTTGTATCATATAATTTCAAATAACGATTATACAATACTAGAAAAGTAAATTTCGTCTGTCTTCAATTCTGAAACGAACGCACTATCCTTTACATTAATACAAATAATAGCTGCATGCGCAAGCAGTTTTATACAGGATATATTGTGCATTGAGTGTCAAGGCAAAAATCCAATGAAATATATTGAAGTTTATGTTGAGATAAACAATGTACTAATAGGTAACCTGTGCATTGCACCGGGATTATGAAAAAAAAAACATATGTTAAAAACTTGTTTTGTAATATAAAAATTAATGGTTCGGTTTATAAAATTTTTTTACAAAAAATAACTATTGGTTAAAACTTTTGGACAAATAGGTTGATGGAAAACATCAAAATTCTGACACCGTATTCGTTCATAAATAATGAATTTCATGATATATTCTTCAACAACTATAATATGAACTTTTGCACCGTGAATGAGATTGATGTTACGAATAAATTCTAAAAACCTATTACCATAAAACTGTCATCGGCCTTATGAATGATACGAAAATTAACATATAAATCTCCAAAATTAGTGCGGAGATAGTCATAACCTCGTGGATTTCCTCTAAATAATGATGGCAGGCGACTTGAAAGCGTTTGCGAAAATAAAAAATCATAAATAAGTTATTCTTCAATCCATTGTAACATTCAAAAAAAAAAAACAATGGCCGAGATTACCAAACCATTGTCGGTAATATTTTCTGACACTATGCACAGGTATTCTATATCCATTGAGAGTGACTGCATTGAACATAAACCCGTATTGAATAAAAAAAATATGTATGAAAGCAACACATTGAATAAAAAAAAAACTCTATGGAAGAAACAAAAGCTTTAAAAGGAAAATGAAACAAAGACATACTTAATTGTTTTGAACTGTTTACTGTCATGGAGTGTAAATAGAACAATGTTTAACAAATCACGTGCATTGATTTAGGATAGGAGTAATTTAGGATAACTTCTATTTGAACTTTTATTATCAGATTACTTATTTTAAAAGGTTGTTGTAGAAAAATAAAATAAAATGATTTTCTACTGTTAAGATGCACCGTAATCACTGTTAGATCTATTTTTTTTACTTTGAACTTAAGTGTTCTTCCAATTTCATGCCAAGTAAGCTATTTTCATCCTGTATTAATATATATAGATTACGTATCCTCAACTCGCTAAACAAAGATTAAAAAGAACAAAACCTTATCGAAATATTATGTAGTTTCTTTCCATGCTAAAAACTAACAAAACAATCTCTATTATAGAGTTCATATAGCTCTAAGCATCAAATACAATGCTCATTTATTGTTGGATATTGAAACTCCTTATTATACACAATTAACACAAAGTGAAAATGAAAGCACTCAACGCACACAATTTAATGTGGTTTGATCCACAACAGATCTACATCAATGGAGAAACACATCATTACTATTATATATGAACAATAGATAAGTTTATAAGTGTAGACCCTCTCTCGATACACTGTCTATCGTCCTCAATTCTATTTTCTCCCATCTCTCCCTGACAGCTACATTGTGTTCTCCACTGATTTTAATACAAATATGACATATTTATACTAAAACCGTGATTCACTAACTGGGCTAATGTAAGCCAACTCTTCTGGGGTTTGGACTTTGAGGAGATCCAACAAATGCTCCCTCAACTCAAAGTCTCAACCAGAACACAGTTTTATGAGAACAAGAATACTATCTCTGTCTTCAACTTAAGGTCTTCGCTCTGAATATCAAATGAACCACAATGCTTGTATCTCAAACCAACAACTCCTTAAAAATAGACAATCTCTACGTCAGGAATGTCAAAGCAATCATACGACCTGTTTTTTGCATTCAACAACACCATATGAACTTACTAGTATAAAGCACTCCACATCTTGGACGATCCCTCGTGTATCACCTTTTCTATCATAATACGACATTAACAAAGAATATGATTTTCAATCAGTCACCTCCACAAAGATTGTATAGACTTTGCCAAACTTTCATAACCAACTATCTCTTGTCTTGAATCTCCGTCTCCACTAATACAACCTCTAAATAGCTTAAAAACATTTCAATGCTAAATCACAGGATCCAATCACCTTATATCGCGTCACTAATGGGACACGCCGCTTGACAACCTGGATCAGGAAGACTTTCAACGCAAGGAATCACATAGGAATGTGTATGGTTCAACTTTAAAACACCTTCACTGCTTGCACATTTCTCTTGTCTCACATGCTCAATACGATCCAAGCACAACTCTTGTTGGGACAAAGAATCCAATATCGTCATCGTTAAAGGTATGTCACCTATTTCTAAGCTCCTTGAACCACCCCACTCATAGCTAATTAATTTTGAGATAGGATCCCAAGTGACTTTGATATAGTATCGGAGCTGCATCAACTTTTTCTTAAGCCCAAAGATGCTAGTGAAACGGCAGCCGCCGGAAAGAAAAAAAAACCATGTTGAGTCTGGCCAGAAATCAAAGTGAGACTAGCTCACAAAGCCTCATATACCACTATTAGAGATTGAAACCCCTTATCATATACAATTAAGACACACGACATAAAAAAAATTAAAAAAATGCACTTCTTGTCTGCAAGAGAAAAGAGAGATAAAGGATTCTAGGTTTTTGGGAATTTCAGTTGGGAGAAGAAAATCTTTCACTGAAGCTTTGATGCGAGATGAAAACACAGTTAATTGTTGATGTAAGTTTGCATGTGGGTTCGTCTCAAGAAGATCTACAATTCCGTTGATTTAGTTTTCAAATTAACTCTTTTTTGATGAGATTCTTCTAATCCCGCTTTGTGTTTTAAGTGTCTTTTGGAAGAGTATTCTTGAAGTGTTGTCAATCCATCTTCAGCAGAAGTCATGTGCATCTACCGATTAGTGAAGACTAATTTTTCATTATTGTAATAGTGGAGATCTAACTCTTGTTACAGATTTTCTATGTAAAGTTTGCGTGCTAATTTACTTTATTAGTTCTTTGATTACTTGTTTGTTTGGTTAGCTTGTTTGGTTTTTCTATTTTATTGGTGGTAAAAAAGGAGTTATTTTTGGGATTTGCTTCCATACTGTAATTTTGTTTATACCATTATCACCACATCTACATCCATGGGAAAACACACTATCACTACTATATTTAAAAAATAAAAGAATTTATAAGTGTAGATCCTCTCTTGATACACTATATCGCTCGCCCTCAATTATATTTTTTCTCTCATGTCTCATTGACGGCTACATTATGTTCTCCCTTATGATACACTATATCACTCACCCTCAATTATATTTGTTCTCTCATGTCTCCTTAACGGTTACATTATGTTCTCCCTTGTGTCCGCCACTGATTTTAGTACAAGTATAACATATTTGTACGAAAATTCTAACTCACTAACTTGGATAATAATAAACCAACCCTGTTAGGTTTTAGATTTTGAGTAGATAACCCAACATTTACATCTCTTCACTTTTAATGAATGGACAAAATTTGTATTAGTGTCCAATTAATTGAAGTCATTAGACAGTCTATACAATTACTGAAAACAACTTTAACGTTCCCCGTCATTTTTAATACATTGAAAAAATCTTTTCTTGCAGATCCAGGATAATTTTAAGTAACTCATTAGTAACGATATCTTTCAAATTTGAACTTTCACTTTTGTGTTGCTTTCACATGTAAACAAATGTTGAACCAAACATACATCTAAAAAGTAATTAATTTCAATAAACATGAGATCGTTCTCCATCAACTTAATTTTTCTTTGATACATCAAATCTTGTATCTAATTATGTTCATTAATGTTTCCAAAATTATTCCCAAACTTTCATGTAAACATTCATATTATTCGTATAGGCAAACCCTTTGTTAAAATCCAATGTTCAACCTCATGATTTTGGGTGTTGTTATTGCCAAAAT